TTTCCTACTTTCTTAGTTAGAATATATTATTTCTATTGTAGAATATTTAGCTGAACATTTTTTTATTAGTGAGTGAAACTCATTAATATAGTAAAATTTTTTGTAATCTTAATTTTAAAAATCAAACACTCAATTTGACCTTATTTCACGATTGCAAAAATTTTATTCATTTTAAAATATGCATTGTGGGTTTCAAACAATACACATAGAATTTGGACTAGTAATACATATAAAATACTATGTAATTGTTATACAAATCCTTTAAAAAAAAGTTAATTATATAGTAAAAGATTACACCGCCATTCTTTTCGCCAGGGATTATAACGTAAAAGTAACTCTACCAACATTAAAAAAGACCTGTATCAAAAATATCAATTTGTTTTCTAATAATAAATTGACATCTCTTATTGCTGATGAACCTACCACCATTTTTATATCTACCAAATCTACCACCATCTTCATATCCGCCAAACCTACCATCATTTCTATACTTACCAAACCTACTACCATTTCCATATCCGCCAAACCTACCACCATTTATTTTATTTATAAGTATTTATATTAAGGTAAATAAGAGAAAAAAGATTTTTTATTTTTTATAAAATATATTTTATAACAAATATTTTTTGTTTAATATAATTTTATTTCTTTACTAATAAATTTAAATTTTAAAAATAAAAAAATTTAATTTTTACTTTATATATTTTAGATATACATGAAGAACACTATTTCAATTTTATATTTTAAAAGATTTTTTAAATAAAATTAAAAAGGTTTTTATTAAATCTTCTGCTTAAAGAGGCTGATATCTCATTTATTTGAAAATGTATAGAATTTCTTCACCAAATAAATTCCTTTATAAAATAAAACTTGTTAGAATTCTTGGTTTCAGATGGTAATTTATACAATGATCATATTATTTATTGACCTTTTTTTTAAAAAAGAATATGTTAATATAATACATTAGCAGCCATTAATTCTTATCTATAAAATGAATAACAATTGGAAACCATTAATTACTATTTTCATTTCTTCTTATGCTAATGAATTTATTCAGAATCTTGATTTTTTCCAATTAAAAACCCAGTTTTTTCTCTTGTTGATTACGACTTCAACAACTTACTGTTTATATTAAAATGTATAGAAATTCAAATGATTTTGGATCTTCCTTAGAAACTTTAATTATCCAGCTTCGATCTAACAAAAATGAATGCTATTCTATCTTTCAAACAGCATTTGAAGCAGTTTATAGTAAATTTGCTACACGTATTCCTAATCATTCATCTTGGTTACTTTTTCACACATGTCAAGTTTTCAATCCTAGATATATCCATATTGGAAATCCTTTACGAAAAGAATGGATCAATATTGGTTAAATAAGGCCACGTCATTGCCAATCCTTTCTAATATTGCTTTGGACTGCCAATATCAAAGTTGTACTGTTGAACGAAGTTTTTCTATGTACAATTCTCTTTTAGATAGTGATAGGCAAAGTTTATCTGAAGATTCTCTTAAATATTAAATACGTTATATTTTTAATGGTGTTTAGAGATTAAAATTATGTAATAAATTCAACATATCGATATGAAAAAATTTATCACAATAGTTTATGTCATAAAATCATCGGCCCTGCTAAATCTATCGATTGGTAGTGGTAGTAACACGAACATTGTAACTTTTTATTCTAGTATCCCAATTTTTATAGACCTAAGTTCAGTTCAATATAGACTTTTTACAATAGAAAAATGGCAGATATACAATCACAAACAAAAATTACCGAAAATGCTGTAGTAAATTCAAAAGCTGAAACACCAATGGTAGTTAATCAAAAGTTATTAAGTGCCTTAAATTATCTTCGTGATGAACTCGAAAAGGTTCAAAAAGAAAATAAGGAGTTATCAACGGAACGGACAACTTTACTGGAACAACTGGAAACAGAGAAGAACAAGAACTTTATTGTAATAAATAGTAATAGTAATGGGATAGAAGATAATAATAGTATTCATCATACGGACAATAGTGAGGATTCTGCTTTTTCAGAGGTGGGTGACGACGGTGACAATGATCGTGAAAAAAATAAGTATTTTGAAGAATTAAAAGCACAAGTTGAGCAAATTGAAAAGGAGAAAAAGGAAATTATAGCAAATGGACAACAGGAACGAGAGAAGTTGCAATTGCAGCTTGACCAAACACGGGAGGAGAAAAAGCAATTGGAAGTACAACATCAAAGTTTAATTGCGAAGTTGGCCAATTTTAAGACATCCATAGCTGATAAATTGAAAGCGGATAATGTAAATATAAATATATATATTTTGTTTAAATTTATAATAAATTTTTTTAATTAATTTTTTTTATACATATGTATATATTATATTTAGGAAGAACTTAATAGGAAAAAACAAGAAATTAACGAATTGAATGAAAATAATCAAGAACTTAATAACACTATTTTGAAGTTACAAGGTGATCTATCCACTTCTCTGGATGAGAATGAGAAATCATCGCAACAATTAGAATCTTTACAATCACATATTTTTGAGATGCAACAACAAGCTTCCCTTGAAATTTCAGAAAAGGATGGTATAATTCGTGATTTACAGCATAATTTAGACCGTACAGAAAGGGAACGGGAGGAATGGGAGGTTAATGCTATGGAATTAAAAAGCGCAAAGGATGAATTACTTATTCGCATAAAACATTTAGAAAGAGAAATGGATGCCTTGAAACACGAGAAAGAAACTTTAAGAGCCGAGAAGAACAGTGAATCTGAGAGTTTGGCTAATTTACAGAATGTCTTGGAAGAATTCGAAGCAGGTAAAATTGGATTAATATTTTTATAATGTTCAAATTATTTTTTACTTTCAAAGAGAAATTTTTATGAATTTTGATTTAAATTATTTCATGATAAGCTAAACAATCTGAGATTAGAGAGGCTGTTGAAGGAATACAAAGGCGACTTGCCACTTCTACTAAAGATTTAGCAGAGTTTAAAGAGCGTGCGTTACTGGCTGAAGTAAGTTAATGGAACTTTCATATTATAATTTTTTTGAAAAAAAATGAATTTTTTTGTCAACATTAAATGATCATACATTAGAATCAATTAACGCAAATAAAAGAGGAAATTGGCAAAACATCACAATATGAAAAAGAAATCAAGGAAAAGAATTTATTAATTGGAAAGTTGCGACATGAAGGTAAAGTTTAATTATTTGATAACAAATTGTTTTATAAAGGTAATTCATATTTTAATTATTTTATTTTTATAGCTGTAATATTGAATGAACATCTTACCGAAGCTTTGCGTCGTATGAGGGAAGAGAGTAGTGAGAATAATGTGGACAAGTTAGTTACATAATCTCCATGTGATTTTATTTGCTAATTTCTTTTGCCAAAAAAAAAACATCATAATAATAATTTAAAATTCTTAGACGACTTATCACCAACCTTTTGATCGCTTTCTTCAACACACCACGTGGAGATAGTAAAAGATACGAAATTTTACAATTGATGGCAAATATGTTGCAGTGGACAGAGGAACAAAAGGAACAAGTAGGTTTGATAAGAAGAGCATTGACCAACCGGTCTGTAGAAGATAGATCAAGTGGATGGGTGTCAGGTTTGTGGACCCCTACTCTTGAGAGAACACGGAGTCGATTATCAGAAGAAGTTCCTAGACCAACTATTCGTATATCTGAAGATGAAGGTCCTAAAGAGGTAATTTTTTTTTAAAAAAAAAAAACAATTATTATTATTATTTTAATGCATATTTTCTTTTAATCTTTATTTTTATTTTAGTCATTTTCTGATATGTGGATATCATTTTTACTTAAAGAAGTCAATAAGGAAAATAAACCTATCAGTAATAGTAATAGTAATAGTAATTATTCAAATTCAAAACAAGAAGGATAATTTAATTTCGGCTTTGTAAGCTATAATAAAGAAATCCATTTAATAACCATAGTAATTATTATAATAAAGGTTTTTTGTATAATTATGTGTAATTTGATCTATCGAGATATCAATGATCCTTTTATTAATTTTTTTTTTTTCTTTTTTTATGGTTTGTGAATAAGGAAGATGAATATTTAGAAAGATAATAGCTTGGAAATGATGATGATTGAAAAGAAATCATTATAAAGTCAGACAAAAATCATGATTATACAAATATTAAATTAGAATACATCTCATATAATTTTTACCAACATATACATAAAACTTTGATAATATTTATCTGTACTATTTTATAACTTCCTAAATTATAATATTTATGTAAAGATAATTCATGTTGATTCATAAATTTAATAGTTAAATATATGAAAATAATAACAATAATTTAATTGGAATCTTTTTATTAAATTTATATATATTTTTTATATAAATATTATATAAATTAATAAAAATTTACAATTAAAAATTAAAAATCATATATTAATATAAATTAACTAATTAAATATTATAATATTTAATATTTAATATGTAAAATGCATATAATAAATAAATTTAATTTCTATATATTTAAAATTACAATTATATATAATATTACACATAGGATTATTAAAAATACTAATTTTTATAATATTATAATATTTTTCATTAAATTCTAATTCATAATAAATATCCTATTTATATAATAAATTATCAGAAAATTTATTAATAATTAAATATTAATAAATATTATATCATTAAATATTAATAAATATTATATCATTAAATATTAATAAATATTATATCATTAAATATTAATAAATATTATATCAT